TTACGGTTTCTTTCTCGATATCCATGGAAAAATGCCGCTCGATCATGGGCCATCAGGTTTTGTTGCAAGTGCCAAGGTTCAGATGCAGCCACTGGAGACTGGTTATGGCACCCATTGGATGTGTCCTCTCGTGCTCGTCAATGGCGTTTATATGGGACGTGGAGAACCCGTGGCGGTAGCAGAAGGGAGTACTACAGAGATCTGTACTACAGCGGGTACTATGGGCCTTGTCCATGATAAAAAAGGGCTGGGCTGCAAGGATTCGTGGGTATTATTTTGTGGCGTAAAGAACCGAAATGGCTTCAAATATATCTGAATCGACATTGTAGCTATATATATATCTTGTGTATATAATAATGCTTCAGCGGTATTTCCATTATAGTTTGATATAGTAATGCTTCAGCGGTATTTCCATTATAGTTTGATATCTTCTTCAGCGGTGTGTGCCGCTCCATGTTGGGTTTAGGTTCACCATAGGGTTGGAAGTATAGTTAGTGTCAATCCGTGTTGAAAGGTTTAGCTGTTGAGAGAAACAGCGGCAATCAATGTTGAATTCTGGCTTAAACTCCAGAGATCTTATATTGATTCTTAGTTTCGTGGCCGCTCCCGTGGTTGGATGGCAGAACGCAGAAAGCAACAAAACTTTGAGAAGATCTACGACTATTTGCCTTCTGCCGTGTGGAACGCCTTAGAGGCACCCAATCGTGAAAAGGCACGCGCGTCACTTTTGAGACACTGTTGGACACTGGGTCTTCGGTGCCCTTCCGAAGGTAGCTTTGGCATGTTTGCCACCATGCTGTTGATGACAGATCCGTCCAAGCCTACATTTTCAGCTTTTCAAAAGTATAGCTTGATAGCAGAGATCAAGAAAGAGTTTCGCAAGCTGAAGACGGTGCAGAGATCTGATGATTTCTCTTACACGGAGTACCTGGAGTCCCTTCCGAGTAACTTTGAGACATTACCACCAGAGTATCAGCTATCAGCGTTTCCTGATGGTCCTCCTGAGCCATGTAGTGCCTAGGTTCATTTATATATTTGGGATTGGGGCCTATTTGTTTACCAGATCTTTGACCAGGCTACCATGCAAGATTTTTTCACATATGCGCATTCCCTTTCAGGACTGCAGAAGGATGATTTGCTCATCGCAGTGGGCAGTACCAAGTTGCGGCTTCCCAAGGAGATGCAGGTGACCAAGGACAAAAGTGATGATGTCTCTTCTGGGCCTATGAAGGATGTGAGGCAGTTGATGGAATTTGCGTTTCGCATGGGGCAAGGCTTGCATGGTTCCTCTCAATCTGACGCTTCCAGTTCCAGAACTCCTGTTCAGCCTCTGCTTGCTTTAGAAAATGGCTCTGTGGACTCCAAGGACATTGAACATCTTGTTGTACTGGTCATTTCGTGTTTTAGCATCTATATAGGTAGGAAGATTTTTTGCATGTATGTTTACTTCGAACGATACTCTATAGTATCCCTGGTGCAGGACACTGGTGACTCTCAGGCTTCTGCTCTTGAGCACATGGATCTGAAGGCCAAGGGCGCTGATGAAAGTCCAGACCCAGAGGCTTTGCAAGTGGTGCCTGCTGCGCCGGACACTTCCGCGAAGCAGTCGGATACCGCTCCGCCTGCTGCCGCCGAGCCTGCCCCCACAGCAGAATCTCAGCCTGTGGAGCCAGACGCCATGTCTCGCTTGCAGGTGGCCATGACTCAGAGGAAGAGTTTGAGTGTGGAGCCAGCGTCCAAATCTGCTGCTTGGAAACGACCAGCTGCCGGAGCCAAACCGACAGGATCCTCGTTGAAACGTCCGGCGTCTTCAGTTGCGGTCCAAAAGCCTTCCAAGAAGGCTGCTGCGAAGAAGACAGCTAAGAAGCTTGCCGTTTTGAAAATGACGAAGAAGGACGTCTACTCACGAGCTTATCATGCTGAGAAGAGTGCCTTGTCGTTACGCTTTAGATTTTCTCGAGTTGGAAGCAACCAGAGACCTTATTTCCTTGGACCCCGTGGTTAATAGTTCTGCTAACGTTAGAAAGGGATGGGTTTCCTTTTGCCTGGTTTGGTGCGATATCCAAGTAAAGACCTTTTGAAGGCCGCCCCACTTGGCAATTTTCCTCTTGGTTGGTATAACTGCCCAACATCAGCAATGAAAAATGGCCCCACTATCCCCCATTTAATAGAGGTTTTAAATGCGGGGGGAGTTAGCGGGGCCATTTTGCATTGCCGGCGCTGAATTGCCAGCCCCACTCATAGTAAATCCTTGATATAACTGAGTTTTCTATCTATATATATCTATATACACATTTATATTTCAGAGTGGCTGCGCGCCTATATATGTGGGATGTGAGAGCTTGGCTCCTTCAAGGGCCTGTGAGGTCGCTTGTTGAAGCTGAAGCCTAAACTCAAGTTGGACACCATCATTGAGCGAGCTCGTGCTGCCGGTCATAAAGCTTCGGAAGCCTTTGAGCAATGATCTCTTGCCACGGTGGGTGAAAACAGGAAGAGCCAGTGTCCATGGCCAGAAACGCATTGGATTGCCAGCGGTATGCGCCGCTCCTTGTAGGTATCTTTTTGTACCAGAAGCATCGTGTCTGGAATCTCATTATGAAATGCAAACGAAGGTCAAAACGGTTCAGCGCGCATATTTCGGTTTGCGTTCAAATGGTGCAGCGCGCCACGTCAATTACGGATCTATACTGTGGTTACTGAGGATTAAGGTTTCCCAGTTTTGAAATCCGGATCGGTATCTGTGCACAATGGCGGCTCTGCCTTTTGAGTACTCGTACTTCAATGAAGCTGACTTCTCCCGACTGAGAACAGAACGTGACTGGCTGTCATGGAAAGATTTGCAACACTTGGAGTACCTCCCCCCGTACCAAGTTGTGAGGCATCGCTTAGGTGATGAGACCTTGTACCTGGGGAATGGCGTCGGGATGGTGCCGTTCCGCAAACGAGAGCATGAGGCTTTGGAAGCTGTTCCTACTTGGAGACTGTTACTCGTATTCATGAATGCAGCAAATCACGGGTAGCTGTATGTGCTGGCATTGGTGTTTTCTTGGTTATCGTTCTCGCACTTTGGCAGGGGGTTCTCACCGTGAGATTGCTCAGGTTCGCCAACAAACATGGTGACAACATCGTGGTTCTGCCGTCCGGAAATCCGCAGGGTACTCGTATTTACCTCTTCGAGTTCCACAAGGATGAGAAGCTTGTGTCCTTCAGGACCGCCACTACCGGTGAGATGGTGTATCAGATGTTTGGATTTGGCGCCAGATCTGTGGTTGAAGACGTAGTTCGGCTGCGCTGCATGGGGCTGTTCATGTAGTACATGTTTCAATTTGTCATTTTCTAGTTTTGCTTTGGTTTAAGAAGTGTTGCTTGATATTTGGATTTCATGTGCGTGTTCCAGATGTTGAGGCACTGATACATTTTTTGGAGCAATGCCAGAATATCACCGGCCAGGAAATGATGATCCTAGGATCGTGCCAGGTTGCTTTCTTGTTACCGAATGGCACCAAGATCACGAGGGAACTTCGAAAGTTGACACTTGTTCAGATCATGCGACTGGATGCTGGTGCTGCTGCGGCCAAGACAGATGAGAAAGCGATGAAACTCATCTGGAGTGTGTTGATTTGCGGGTCATTGGTTTTGGTGTTAGCTTCTGTTCAGGCACTGGAGGGCTAAGGTTCTAACTATAGTTGGTAAACTCGATGTTCACGGTGACAGGTTGTGATCCAGGGAATCAACCGTCGAAAGATTAATATATACATACGTACGGTGATATAGCGGAGCCTGTGTGAACTGAAACATGGGTCCTGTCTCAGGACAATGGTTGATGCTGCTCCAAGAGGGTCTCGCAAATCGAATACAAAGGTGCGATCTGCTATGCGAGCCAACGTTTTGAAAAAACCAGCTCGCCAGATGTCGCTGGCTGCTGGTAGCCGCAAGGTCACGAAGAAGCCAGCTGGCAAATGAGATGCTCAGTGTCTGGGAAAATGAAGTGCTGGCCGACGCTTGCGGCTCGCAAGTTTAATCGTTATCGAAAGTCCAGCTGTGTATGCTTGCGGCGGTTTGTACTCCGCTCCCAAATTGATGTTTCAGATTGTTTGCTGGACACAGGCGGTGTGCTCTGCTAATGTGTTTGTAGTTACATCCCAATCTAACCTTCAGGCTGCTTATAGGTGGAGGTAAGTCAGCAGACTTTGCGCGCGCGCTTTCATCCGAAACCCTCTCCAAAAGCTTCCCCCAATGGCAACGGCCTCAGCGTTCTACTGCGAACGGTTGCGAACGGTTGCGGACGGTTGCGAACGGTTGCGGACGGTTGCGGACGGTCGCGAACGGTTGCGGACGGTCGCGGACGGTTTTCCGATGCGCCGCGCGTCGTGTAAGGACATGTATACAATGTGATCGTTGTGTTCCGACGCACAACATACTTTTAAATTGTTCAGGTCCGATGCGCTATGCGTCGTGTGTGCGTTGTGTTGCGTTGCACCCCACAGGTCGCATTGATCGCGACATACGCAACGTGAACGTTGTGTTCTGAGGCACCACATATTTTGTTAATTGAGTTCCGATGCCCCATGTGTCGCGTGAGCGTTGTGTTGCGATGCGCCACACATGTTCCG